TGTGTGTGTGTGTGGAATTTTACATTGATTTAATTAGCTTTTCATCAACTCTCTACCCCCTGCAGTTCCTTCATGAACCCCGGTTTGGGAAACCCAGATTTAATGTCATGCAATAAAGCATTTTGCGTTGTTAACAAAGAATGGAGAATATTTTCTTTGCATTTACTGTGGAACTCATAATGCAGCTGCTCTGTATCATGAGTTGCATGTGTGTAAAAGAATAATGACAGCCTTCACTTTAAAATACCTAGTCCATCTGGCTTGTGTAACTAAATTCTAATTAAACTGCAGCAACAAAAACTAAAACTATATTTTTATATATATTTTTTTTAATTGTAATTTTCGTTTCGTTTATGAAGATAACTTTCAATTAGTGGATTTGACTGCATGTGCAGCATTAGTCCGAGGTATTATTTTTATTTTTCCCTTTTTCCCTCTCTCTTTCAGGTTTATGTGGCTGCGTTCTCTATTTCAGGCTATGCCTGGGCCAGCTGGCGTAATCGTTACAAACCATTTAACCCTGTTCTAGGGGAAACGTATGAGAATGTGCGGGAGGATCATGGTTTCCGTTATATTGCAGAGCAGGTATGAGCACTTAATATATAAGACATACAATATGAAGGACTGTATTTGGAGTAATTGCATTTTAACATTTTTATTTTTTTAATTTTTTTTCTTTCTAGGTCAGTCATCACCCACCTCTGTCTGCCTGCCATGCAGAGTCTGATAACTTCAGCTTTTGGCAAGGTAACAGCTAAAAATTTTATTTATTCTTGATGTGGGATTTTACATTTAATATTTTATTCAAAACAGCAGAACAACCACCCAATAAAGCACTACAATAATCTTAACAGTATATTAACAGTATAACCTTGAAGTAATGGACGCATGAATTAACGTTTCTGCATTTGACATTGAGAGCATAGGTCGTAATTTAGATATATTTTTAAGATGGAAAAATGCGGTTTTACAAATGCTAGAAACGTGACTTTCAAAGTAAATATTGCCATCAAATAGCACACCTAGGTTCTTAACTGATGATGAAGAATTGACAGCACAGCCTTCAAATGTTAGACAGTGTTCTAGATTATTACATGCAGTGGTTTTTGGTCCAATAATTAACACCTCTGTTTTTTCATAATTTAACATTTTTTTCATAATTTTTTTTATATCAACTATGCATTCTGTTATTTTTGCGAATTGGTATGTTTCATCGAGCCACAAAGAAATCTAGAGCTGAGTATCATCAGCATAGCAGTGAAAGCTAAACATCATGTTTCCTGATGATATCTCCCAAGGGTAACATGTAAAGCGTGAAAAGCAAGGGTCATAGGACTGAGTCTTGTGGCACTGTACTTGTGATCGATATGCTTAGGGCTGTGCAAAAAATCGAATGCGATTTTCATGCTCATCTCATCAGTAAAGCCGGTTCTGTGATTAGTAGTAAATCTCCAGCACGTTATGAACGCGATTTTTGCGTAGCTTGTCAGTAATCTACGGCTCTGTGTAGTAAATGCTGCTCCATCTGAAAGCACGTGCTGGAGATTTACTACTAATCACAGAACCGGCTTTACTGACGAGATGAGCATGAAAATCGCATTCGATTTTTTGCACAGCCCTAGATATGCTATCTCGTCATTCACTGCTATGAATTGATGACGATCAGATAAGTAAGATTTGAACCATGCCAATGCAATTCCACTAATGGCAACATAATTTTCTAGTCTATTCAAAAGAATGTTGTGGTCTATAGTGTCAATGCAACCAGATAAAAAGAGCAGGTCATTTGTAACTCTGATGAGAGCAGTCTCCGTACTATGATACAGTCTAAATCCTGGAAGTCCTCACAGGTACCATTTTTATCTAAGAAAGAACATAGCTGAGATGATACTGCCTTTTCTAGTATTTTTGACAGAAAAGGGAGATTTGAGATCTGACTGTAACTAATTCTCCGGTATAAAGCTGTGATTTTTTTTTAATGAGGCTTAACAGCCAGTTTGAAGGTTTTTGGGACATATCCTAAAGACATTGATGAATTAATATTCAGAAGAGGATATATGACTTCTGGAAGCACCTCTTTTAGTAGCTTAGATGGTATAGGGTTTAACATGCATGTTGTTGGTTTAGATTAACATGCATGTTGTTGGTTTAGATTATTTAATAATTTTATACAATTCTTCCTGTCCTATAGCAGAGAATGAGTGGAATTGTTCCTCAGAGGATCTATAGTGCGCTATCTGATGCGATACTGTAGCTGATGGATGCATGGTTATAATTTTATCTCTAAAAGTATCGATCTAGGAAATAAAGTTCATAAAGTCATTACTGTATTGAATTAATACCTGGGGATGTATTTGTTTTCTTCTAAAAGAGATTAAAAGTAAGCAGATCTAGCAGTTTTTAAGGCTTTTCTTTAAGGGTATGTTCAGAGCTTTTGCCTTTAAGCAAACCTCGAAGTGGATTAGGATCTGGACCTGACAATTCAGCCAGCCCAATGCCTTCTGTCTTGTGTTCATTCATAGTAAGTTGTGTTTCCATATCTCCGTCATATGGGGTACTTGCCACCAGAACATCTGATAAGGCTTTCTCCTTTAAGCTCACCCCTTAGCCAGACCAACACTCTGTGAGAGGGTCCTGCGCTGATGGCAGCTGGCTGTTATCACCTGGCATGAGCTGATAGATTGAAACAATTTGTGCAGGTGGTAGGGTCATCTTTAGCCTCTGATGCATGACCACTATGAACCCCTTGTCCAAATACCCACACTTGCGGTCTTGGCCACTTGAGAGCACGTGTCAGGAAGTAAGTGCGCAAGACTCTGTCCCAGGTCTTAAAAAAGCCAAAGCGCAGTGCCCTTAATGCACACTAAATCCACAGTATCTCAAATACTGCTCCGGAGCATCATGTTGTGGAAATATGATTCCTTGAGTCTTTTTTCCCGAGATCTCGCAAGAGTTCACGGAAACCTTTCCAATGTATGTTAAATATTAATAATAATTAGGTATTGCATATAATTTGGTTGTAAAACAAAGAGTTGCACGTTTTATTGGTACAAATGAGTAGTGATGATGATTATTTTGTACAACATTTGCAACGGCTTTTTAGCACTTAATTAGAAGCACCACAAAATTAAATTGTCATCTGTTATAGGGACTACTAAACAGACATTTAGAAGTTGATTTTAAAAATAAAACTGCGTAAACACTTGCATTTTTACTACTCTATAAGTGTGTCCCATCAGGTAATGAAAAGTTCTACACACACTTGTGGTCTTCATGCTCACTTGGACCAAATACAGGAAATACGTCATATAAGTAGTCAAGTGGTCAAGTACAAAGACCGCAAGTGCAGGTATTTGGACATGGGGTGAGACGGGGCTCGCAGGCGTCATGAACAGCCTGTGGAGGCATGACTGACTGGTTGTCTTTAGATCTTTAAATACTGGTTACTCTCTGGGACTGGATGGATCGAGTTTGTGTCAACTATGTCAGACTATGCTGAACTGCAATCTTTACATAGACAGGAGTGTTTCTGTGGTGTAAGAATTCAAGGGTATTGCATGGCTTTCCCCATGGTTATTGGTCCTGTCAACAACTGTATATGATTGGTCAGTTTATAGCGACTGTCACAGGCTAGCGCCATGTTCTGTCATGAATAATTAAGCATAAATGACAGCATAATCTTACAAGGCCACGTAGTCTCATGTATAATTGAAATGCCGACACATCAATGTACTAGTGTTTTGCAGCGTCACATCCACAAAGAGAATTTTTCAACCCAAAATAAATGTAAAATAATTATACAGTACATTCAACATTACATGTCATTTGACAGTACAATGTCATTCTAACATCGACAAGGAATGTTTTTGAGACACTGCAGATGAGCTAATCCTTACTTTAAAATAAAGATACTTCCAAATGATATCGCACACCTCAAATATATATATATATATATATATATATATATAATAAACACATTTATTATATTTTTTTATTTGTTCATTCATTCGGTCATTCATTCAGTCCTTCTACATTTTCAGACCAGAGATGGAAAAATAAGTTCTGGGGGAAGTCAGTGGAAATCGTTTCAACCGGAATGGTTAATGTCACTCTGCCAAAGTGAGTATGGTTCCACTGAGCTCTCTACACAGCTGAGAATCAAACCATTTTATTTTAATTTAAAATAGTCAGTTATTGAGAGATGTTAAAAGTGTCTTTGGATATTCATTTTCATTCAGTTTTGAGTTTTATATACAGATGTGGCCATTGAGAATGCACATCGAAGGGAAAGGATCTCACACATGGTCACAGTAGCATGCAGGGCCACTATGAATGTGTGAATATAATTTAAAGGGGTCATGAATTGAGAAATAAAATTGTCCTTGATGTTTTGACACGTAAGAGGTCATTGTACAGTCATGGCCAAAAGTTTTGGCAGTGACATATCATCCTGCAAGAGCGACTTCTTCCAATGATCCATGAGCTATTTGGTGATGATCCGTGCATTTACAAAGTAAGTGTGATAAAGAAGTGGCTCGAAGATCATTACATTGAAATTTTGGATCCGTGGCCAGGCAACTCCCCTCTCAATCCTATAGAGCAGTGGTTCTCAAACCTCTCCATGAAGTACCCCCAGCACTGCACATTTTGTATGTCTCCCTATATCTGACATACCCACTTCAGGTCTTGCAGTCTCCACTAATGAGCTGATGGGTTGAATCAGGTGTGATAGATGAGGGAGACATACAAAATGTGCAAGGCTGGGGGTACTCCAGGACAGGTTTGAGAACCACTGCTATAAAGAACCTGTGGTCAGTGCTCAAAAGGCGAGTGGACAAGCAGAAGCCCACAAACTGTGATCAACTTTTAAAAGCCTTTAAAACTTATGATATGCTTATCATTGTTAATATTTAAATACTGAAGCAGCAAACTTTGCAAAACACAAAATTTATGTCACTGCCAAAACTTTTGGCAATTACTGTACTATAAAAACATCCTGTAAGTTTTAGAGCTCAAAACTTCCTTGTTAGTCCAAAAACAGCTTTTATTGAAACCAAGATCAGAAAACAACTAGTTTCAGATTTTCACATTATGACTTAATAGTGAGACGAAAGCCCGCCTCTGCAGAATCAGATCAAAACGCCTACTTCTGCATCATTGCGTCTTTGGCATCGGCCGCTTGATCAAAACTTGATCAATATCATGAGCAGCAAACTCGTTTTGTAAAAGCCACTTCAGCAACAGGAAATTTTGTAAGAAGCCAGTTGCGCTTTCGCTATCGCATTGCACAATGCAAGAAATCTCACATGAAATTAAAGACCATCCCAGTGTCTAATGACTCCATAATAAAGACGAATTTGTGATATTGCAAATGACATTGAGGAACAGATCATTGAGAACATTAGACGAAAGCGCTTTGCGCTTTATAAGTCGATGAGGCCACTGATACCAACAAGGACAGTTGGTTAATAGCGTATATGAGATTTGTTGATTTTGAGTCACTGAATGAGGATTTACCGTTTTGCAAATACATCCCAAAAAGAGCTACGACTGATGAACTTTTTAAGATTATAGATTCGTACTTGACAAGATGCTGGGATTAAATGGGAGGACTGCTTGGGAACTTATTTACAGAATTTATGAAAGCGCAGTGGACACTCTGCATTATACATTGAGAAGCACTTGCATCACGGCAGTTAAGCCCTACGTTAAATAATGTTTTGTCTGAAGTTATCACGGTCAACTACATCAAAACAAGACCACTGAATTCATTACTTTTTTTCCGCGTTCTGTGAGGAGATTGGCAACGATCGCACTGCTGTGCTGTTTCACAGTGAAGCGAGATGGCTCTCCTGCAGCAAAGTGCTGTCCAGAGTGTTTGAGCTCCGGGAGCAAATTCAAATTTTTCTGCAGGAAGAAGGCTTGAATTAGCTTGCCAGCGAGTTTTGTAATAAACAATTTCTAATGAAGCTGGCATATCTCAGCGACATTTTCTTCAAGTTGAATCAACTATACCTCCAGCTGCAGGGCAGAGACAAATACCTACCATATCTGCCAGACCAAGTCAGCTCATTCATCTGAAAACTGGAGATGTGGGGCAGGAAACTCGAGCAAGGAAATACAGAGTCTTTTGAAAATATAACAACTTTTTCTAACAACAGTGTGCAGTTTGACTGGGTGAGAGATCCATTCACTGCTTCAGATGACTCTAGCATGAGGCTAAAGTTCTCATCACAAACATTTCTGGCTTTGTGTGGAGAGGAAGTTCCCACTGATAGGTCAGAAGGCTGTTGAAATTCTGCTCCCTTTTGCAACGTTAGGACTCTCTGCGTAAAAGTTTTTGAGAGAGGTCCACGTGTAATACTCATTTCATATGAAAAGATGTTAGCCAATCATAGCAATGGGCGTTTCCATTGAAGCCTAAAAACAGGCACACCCTTTCCAACAGAGCGTTCAAATCAGAGGGCTAAAATCAGGGGGGGGGGGAATTATTTCTAAATTATGGCAATTTTTGATGTAAAAATTATAGTAACATTATAAGTGCACGTCAGGAAACATCAAATTAAGAAATGTCGTTCATAACTCCTTTAAAATAAACTAAGTGCAAATATCCCATCTTCCTGGCCAAAGACTGTTTACACTATTAGAACGAACAAATTGACAAAATTGCCCAAGTTCAAATTTGTGTTTTCTCGATCTTGACAGACAAGCAATATGCATTCTAGCTACAGGGTGCGGGCTAAATAAATAAATCGAAATAACATAAAATAAAGACACAGGATCTGCGTTTTTTTGCAAGTACAGATGAGGTGATGCTGTAAAATGCAATATGTTTTCATCTGCTTCATCTTCTGCGTTTTAATCCTAGATCTCTTCATTAGTCTTTTTCGCAGAAACATTGACCAATAAATGTCTCGTCACATTTTACAGTAGTTACCATAGACTGTAAAAAAAGATGGACGATGTTTCTCCACTTCCTTCCACTACAGAAAAGTCAAGCCAAAACATCTCAGTATGGCTGCTGTCATCTTGCAAAAATGATGTCGTTTAGAGCCAGAGTCTGCACAGTAGTGATTCATTTTTTTCTCTCTACCCAAACGCAGGGCTGAGCCTGCTCACTGTCAAATCTGGAAACCAATTAATAGCACGTTAATTTCATTCCAATCATATTGCATGAACTCTGAGAAGATAAAAAAAATAAAATAAAATACAAGAGATCGACAGAAATTGATGTTTTTTTTAGAACGATACTGATTATTTGCATGTTTATATGGCCAAGAACTGATATTTATTTTTTTCACTTCTGTTTTTGACAATTATAACAACAGTACTGAACTGTACAAGCATTTTTATGTAACACGGTCAATACTGTAATTTCACTCCCTCCTTGCAAACAAAACAACTCTTATTTCTACATCAATAAACAGTGTTGGGAGTAACGCATTACAACAGTAATAATATTACTTTTTGCTTTAACGCAGTAATATAACGCATTACTAATAAATTGGAGAGAGCTGCGGGGTCGGAGAAGAGAAAAAGGTGGCGGACGAGCGCAGACAAGCAACAAAAATTAAGTTTAACTAAAAATAACATAATCTGTTTTTATTAAATCATAGCCTATATATAAAATGAATGAATGTGCGAAATATTTGAATTAAATAGCCAAATTAACAGATGAAAGGAAACCGAGATGACCGAAATAATGTAAACACATTGCAGTTTCGAATGATCTGTATGACCAAAAATAACGGAGTATTTTTTTTGTTGTTTGTTTCCGCTGTTCGATCGCGCTGGCGCCTCACGCACATTAGCATTGCAAACGTTGCAGCCTGTTCATTATCATAATACAATACAGTCAACCAAACATATAGATACACTGTACGCAGTACGCACTATTTAAATTAGCCAATCCGTGCCGTTCAGCATGAGCTCGGGCCAAACACACATTTGCTCATGTGACGAGGATGTTTTTTAAGTGCGTTAAGTAAACTTGGATTACATAAAGCATTCAAATACATCGCAAATATGGAAAATCATAGCCTATATATAAAATGAATGAATGTGCGAAATATTTGAATTAAATAGCCAAATTAACAGATTAACCAAACGAAAGGAAAATGAGAGATATGCTGCTGAGTTTGGTTTTATTTGTGTGGCGCGGCGCTCTACGAAAGTCCACGGAAAGGAAACCGAGATGACAGAAATAATGTAAACACATTGCAGTTTCGAATGATCTGTATGACCAAAAATGACGGAGTATTTTTTTTGTTGTTTGTTTCCGCTGTTCGATCGCGC